CTTCTACACATTTTAGAATTATGTATTTAGAGAAGAATAGAATTTACTGAAAGACATGCAATAAAATTGGCATTCCTCATGGTATTTAATAATCCTTATACAAGTAATTGATAATATCCTTTTTCTGACATTTTCCCTTCAATTCACCTTGAGCTTAAACACCACCCAGAAAAAAAGATGAGATCAGCAGTGCCATAAATATTTCCTATAGTAATAGTGGCATCATCAATTTTAATTATGCCAGTCAGAATGTCTTTTTATTCAAGGTTCCCTAACCTTAGTAGGAGAGATGCCAACTTTGTAAATGCACCATACAGGAAAATGTAAATTCCACATTTTCCTGTGTAAATATGAATCAGCAGATGTATCTGTGAATGTGAACACTCGTGGACTGGAATTTAGCAGCTTATTAACATTCTGCAATTAAAGCAAATACCCTCTTTGCTCTACAAGAGAGAATATCAGCTAATATTCAGTCCTAGTCCTCACTTGAAGTCAATGGAAAATTTTTGCACTTATTTTAAGGAATACTGGTCTCTCAATCACACCTCATGGAAAAATATTAATAAAAAATGCAGCCTAACATAAATAAATTTAGCATGACTTGCAGACACAAGGAAACACATTGGTAGATGTCTGCCTTGTGTCAGATTTTGGCGAGAGGCAAAGATTCAATCTAGACTCACTGCAAAGAGTGCATTATCCCAGAGCAACGATCCACTCCGCAGACAGCGGCAGTGCATCTGCTTTCTCAAGGCAGCCACAGCCAAGGCCCTGCTCCTGCCACGGCCTCAGCTCCCCTCGCCTGGAGAGGGGTTTCTGCTGCTCATCCAGGGTGGTGAGAGCGCTCCAGGAACTGGGCAAATGGGGAATGCTTCTTCCATGGATGATTGTGGGGGCCAGAGAACAGGCCCAGGAAACACTTGTTGTGCTCCCCTGGACAGCCAGCCCCTGACCCACACAGCCTTCCTCTGAGGTTGAGGAGAAAGCTCACCCAGCCCCAGCGGCCTTTGCGGTCATATGTTGATTTCTCCCACCCCATTGGCCCTTCCCCTTTGCTCCGCCCCCACAGCTGTACCCTATTGGTTCTCCAGTTTTGTCCCGCCCCTCATTTTTCCCATATAAACCCCTGCTTTCCCAGGCTCCTTGGCATTTTTGGCCTTGGCACCCTTTGCGGAGCGCCCTGCTCTTAGTAAAGGTGGCTACTCTGTGCAACACCAGACCAGGCTCCTGTCTCTTTCTCTGCATCACCCAGAAGCAGCTGAAGCAGAGCATCACTCCCCAGGCTGAGAGGAGGATGTGCCTGTGCCCCTGAGCCCTTCTTAGGACGCTTCCTCAGGAAGGTCACGGCGCCCTTACCTTCAGTCCACTGCAGCAGAAGATGCTTCTGCTACAGGCACAAGCTGCACCAGTATCAGCACACTTAATAGTCCTGAGGATCTTTCTGTCCATGAATTTCTCTTCGTATGCCACTACACATTCAAATCACACAGCCTGAAACTTGTATATAGTGGAGCTGTTGTGTGATCTAATAAAGCCTGTGTCTAAGATCAGACAAAGCTGTATTAACTGATTCAGTCATTATTTTAAATAAAGTGGACACATTTCAGTGCTTTACATTCACCAGACATCTTGCTGTATATTAATAATGCTGATACAGGGTTTAATACCTTCTGACAACAGCAAGGACATGTCTCCAGCTTGTTCAGTCTAGGTAGAAGATGTCAAAGTAAGTCAAGGAAAGACTACAGTGAGGCTTGAGTTTGGTTAACACACCTTGATGTGTGTTTCTAGCATGGTCAAATCAAGCTTGCTTTTTTTGCTGTTTGCGTGTTGTACTGCCATGAGCTCCACAGAAATAGAAAATGGGAAAAAAAAAGAGACTTATCTGAATGCCTAAGATGAACATAAATCTTGATCTTCAAGGTTAGCAGTAACTAATTTGCTTACAGAAAAAGTCTGGAAGCATATAATAAAGGTTTAAGTCTACACTTTAATGCCATAACAACATACAAATATTTTGTTCAGACATTATCATTGTTGTGCTTTAACCCCAGCGGCAACAAAACATCACACAACCACTCCCTCCCTCCTCCTGCCATGGCGTGGGGAGGACAACTGGGAAGAAAGGAAAACCTGGGTTGGGGTAGGAAGACAAGTGATGCCCAACTCCATTGCTCAGCAGCCCCTGACTGATGCCCAGCCCATCCCTGAGCAGCAGCTGACAGCTCCCAGTCAACTCCTCCTGGTTTATACACTGGAGATGACATTCTGTGGTGGGGAATGTCCCTCTGGCCAGGTGGGGTCAGCTGTGCTGGCCATGTTCCCTCCCAGCTCCTTGTGCACCTGCTCTCTGGCAGAGCCTGGGAAGCTGAGAAGTCCTTGACTTCGGCTAAGCACTACTTAGCAACAGCAAAACACCAGTATAATCAAATTATACCAAATAATCAACATTATTCTCACACCAAAATCAAAACACAGCCCTGTACCAGCTACTACGAAGAAAATTAACTCTATCCCAGCTGAAAAACCAGGACAGTCATATTTATCAAACTTATCCCCCCAAAACAGTGGCAAGAGTAGCAAAGAGCATTAAGATCTAACACAGAATAAACAAAGGGTTTTGTATCAGGCACTTACAGTTAATTTCAAAATGTTAAGCAAATATTTTCTTTTTATAGAACCTGCTAATATATCATTAAAATGAAATAAAAATGTAACATTTTTAATTTGAACATTAAATAGAAACTGTGGAAGCATGCAAGATCTTTCAGTAAGGAAATAAGAGGTGACATGTTTATGCTATTTTTTAATAAGCTTCCTCATTTCAGTGCATTTTTAAGCATAGCAACTTGGTACCTGTTAACAAATTACTTGGTATTTGCTCACAGATCTTTGTAATTTAAACCTTCTTTAGAATATTCAAAGCTGCCCCAAATAAATGCATATCTGCAGAGAGATATATGCCTCTGTGTGTGCATATATACATACAATATGTAAAATATGTACAGAAATAAGCCCCCTTTCGATTAAAGATAAAAGAATGTGTCTTAAAAGACAGAAAAAAATCCCAAAGGAATAAATAGTTAGTTGGATCTATAGTAAAAATTCATTCAGCAGTGAAGATGCAGGCACCAAACTTATACCAAAGTATACAGTTTCTACTCCTCTAACATTGTCTTCAAAATATAAAAAATAACACTTAGGACTCACTCCAGGAAAACTATTTTGCCACCTTCCCTAAAATATTAGTTAATGTAACGTTGAGGACAATCTCATATACTGCATGCCCCATACTGCAGAACATGTTGTTGTGTGATATTTTTATGCCCAGAACAGTCAGCATCCAAATATTAGGACTCTATTTTTAGCTTTCAGAGTAAAAATATTAGATTTAAAAAAAACCAACAAACTATACTGATTTATGATGAGTAAAGGTTTTGGTTTGAGTGGTTACCATTGAGCACCAAGATCTGAATTCAAGAAAACATCTTCTGTGAAAACAGGTAGATGGTGCAGAACCTCAAATACCTCCTGAAATCTCACTACTGCACGATACTTGCATTTTTCTATTTTCTCTATGATTTATATTGTATGTATGAGATTAAATTGACTGTATGTTTGCCAGTAATTTTCCAGTACCTGCTTTCCACATCCCTCTCCTGATTTTCATCCTCACATTTTTATTATTTGCTTTTTTTCAGGGCTTTTGCAAATGTTGCTGCTATATCCTATTTCAAGTTGTCTAGGTTAATTCCTGCAAGTATACTCAATTTGCATTTAATTCACCTCCTTCAACTTACTAATGAATATGTCAAACAAGAACTGCTTTTCCATTATACTAGTTCATCTTCTAACTGTTCTCACTACTTGAAATATTATATTTTGTTAATTTGAATTTTTATGTTTTGACCCATTTTCACACCACATGGCAATTCCTGGGTTAAGTGACAATGTTTAAAGTGGCTGTTTTAGCAGTAATGCATGTGTGTTCCTGAGCTATCAGATGACACAGATGTTTTAGAATTTGTCTTCAGAAAAGTTGGGAAAACAATATATTCTCTCAATTTTCTCTATTATCTATTTTCAACTACAGTAGTGGTTGGGCTTTTAAATACAGAAAGAAAATGGCAAAACCTTCCTGGCTTAGCTGGAATACCAGTGGATCTCTGCAAGCCAGACAGAACTGATCTGCTACAGCTATTCCACACATACTAAAATGCAGGGGAAAAAAACAACTGGCCCTCATGAGAGGGCTTAATCCATTTTGGGTAACAAGAGTTTTACTGACACTATGAGCTCATCCTTGTAAACAAACTCTTGATCTGTTAGCCTCAGCAGGAAAGCAGACAGAAAATACATAAAACATGATGGTAAAAACCCTTCCCTCAACAAAAAGAGATAATATCTACAAAGTGAACATATTCAGTTTCCCATGCATAGTGCATTTAGGAGACCTTGATAGCTTTCTGGATAACTTACAATTATTAGCACAATTTCAAGTCCAATATAAATCTGCCAATAATTCCAATGATAAAAATCAATTCTATTTTACTTATAACTTTAACACATCGCATCAACAAAGCGGTGCATGTAATATTAACAGATTATAACAGATTATTAGTATTAGGTTTTGAGATAACTTTTAAAGAAAATTCTTTTGAACTAACAAACTTCTAGAAATAACACAATGCAAAACATATGGTGCACCAGCTGAGTAGCACTGCAATATTAGATATACAGATGCTTCACTGCAATTACCAACTGTTTATAGCCTTGAGTTTCAAACAGTTACTGAGTCCTATATTCCTGATTTTATCTCATTGGACAACTGCAATCCAAGCGTATTGCAACCAATGCTGTGAAAAGTTACTACAGATTTTCATTAAATCTCATTTTTATTCAGTCTGAGTAAAATGGGATTTATTTAGAAGCAGAATGTAGCTGATAGCTGTATTCAACACCATCATCTAAATTAACAGAAAAAGTATTTTTCCTACCTTATAATCGTCTTCGTAGTCATTATATCCACAAGTACTTAAGATGTCAGGAAATATATCCGACCACCCATTACTCGTACAATTTTTGCTAATGTTTCCTGTAAAGCAAAATTAGAGAGTTTAAATCAGAAAGATCCAAAACTCTCCGCATCAATGACTCCTTAAACAATCTAACTGTGTCATTAGCTGATCACAACCTAGCTCTTTTTCCTTTGTTTCCTCAGACTCAACCCAGCCATTTCCTTTCATGTGCTTTTCATTCATATTCCTTTGGCTTTTACTCTTGCTTGGAGTTGCCTTTGCACTACAGTAAAACAGAAGTAAACCTAAGACTTTTCCTTGGGTATAGCAGCTATTTCTGTTACACATCTGCAAAAGCCTAAACTGTTCTGCTGTTTTATTTAAAATACTCAGGAGGGAGCCATACACTTCACTCTGTAATGGGCCATTTGTAGGTAAAGGAATTTGAAAGAAGAGTAATTTCAGTGAGAGTTGTTCTGACCTCCTGTTTAGGGCTTTTGAGAAGCCAATACTGAGAAATCTACTGAAGACTTACAAAAGCTCTTAGACACTAAGGTGATGAGTTACTGCTACAGCAAATGTTGGTAAGTTTGGTAATGAAGTTTAAAGGGCAAATTATGTCATAGACTGAAGAATGAGGTAAAGGTGCATGCTGAATTTCATTCTTTCAACCAATATTGGAACAATGTAGTACAAGGAATGTACAGGACGTGTGGAAGTATGGCTGGAAAGGAATTTTGAAGATTTATTAATTTCAGAAAGTTTCTGTTTGGAGATAACAGAAAATGTTGACTCTTTCCAGAGACAAAGTCACACAGATGACATGGGGGCAACCCATGATACTACTTCTTAATCTAATTAAAATGAATTAATTTTCAGGCAATATTGAACAACTTCAAGGGGGGAAAACAGAAAAGCCTGATATTGTAACTTACTCTTACAATGTTAATTTGTACCTCACATTTCTTAGAGCAATTTCTGTATCTATGATACTTGAAATCTATAATAATATACTGCCTTGGTTTGGAGTTTACCACTGGTCTATAATTGACTCAAAGTTTCCAGGTTTTCACCACAGAAAAATAAATTTATGTGCCATAGGTCAGTGTTGGTCAAGAATAACCAAACTTGTTTATGTACACTCCAAACGAAAGCTTTTGTGATCTTTATTTTGTTGATTGGTTACTGGAATTTCTTCTTTGTATAAAGTCTTCAGTGGAAAGTTGTAAATATCCAATAAGTGGTCCACCAGCCAACAACCAAATCTTTCCAGCTAGTAAAAAGGCCTTGACCTAAACCCACGATCTCCTCAAACAACGGGACCACTTTTGCCGTTTGGCATAGAAGTGACATTTTTAAAAGAAAATGTAACCTATTTATACACTGTGAAGAGTCTTCACTTTAACAGTACATCAAGATTCTCTGACCAGGCAGAGCAGAGGAATGTGTTAACAGAACCACAATTGCGTCAAAGCCAGTTTTGCAAGAAAAAACTCAACGTACTCAAGATACTCAAGTATTTTCTACTTCAAACACTGCAATACCTTCTAACCTAAAGAGAGTTGGGCAATGTTCTATGGAAGGCAATGTTTATTTCGACACCATCTTTTCATGCAGTTAAGTATTTCAGATGCCCACTTTATTTAAAACCTTTAACTTGATATATTTGAATAAAAACTTTACAGAATAACTTTCTGAGACTAATAATCTTGTAAAATACAGGAAAAACATTATAGGATGATATGATTGCTTTTGCAGTAAGATTCTTTTAATCAAAAGTTACTAATATTCAATACAGAATTAATCATGTGGTATGCTTAAACTATAACAGAGCACCACGGAAGAAATTTAGAGCCAGCATTCCAAAGGTTCTAAAGATGAGAAGAAAACTATTTTTTAAATTCACAATTTAAATTGGGAAATCCTTTAAGAAACTGATGGTATTTAAAAGCCTACTTGAGGTTTGGAATATTAACATAAAAATAAGGTAGTCTAGATCATCCTGTAGAATTTTAACTCCTCTTAAACACTGAAAGCTAAAACATACATCTCACAAATCTGGCTAAATAAAAAGAGTGAAATTTTTTGTTTGAAGGTATTTTCATAATTTTCCACCGTAAGAATTAAGTTAATTTGTAATGTGCTGTGTGTGAATTAAATAAATTACATATGCCTGAGCATAATCAACTTATGAAAGTACCAAGATGTTTAGTTAGCTCTTAATTGAATCAACCATGCAAAATGTTTGTTGTCTTCCTTCTCTGAAATTTTAGAAAGGGAAGGTCTAAAAAACACTCTTAATTGAACAGGAACATTTAAAATCAACCCTGTTAGTTCCACAAGCAGGAAGCAAACAGGTGGCTATGAAAAAAAGCTGGATCAGGGAAAATGATAGCAAACTATAAAATAAAGAAAAATTTCAGTCTTGCTGACACCATGGTGAAGTGAGATAGGTTTGTAATGCACTGTGAAGGTTTCAGACTTAAATATTTATTGCAGTTGTTTTATAGTAAAATTAAAATGTTGTTGTAATATAACTAAAGTTTGTGAAATAAACTCCAGAGAGAGTGTGCAAGCTCTAGCTTTTGGCAAATAGACAGAAGCAGTGTGATTTAATTCAGATTTTGAATTTTTGATATTTATTAGTTTGCCTTGCCTCATGACAACACTTTATTATCTTGGTTTGAGTAATTTGAAAACTTTTATAGATTTCACAACATTTAGCAACGATTACACATACTTTCCCCTTTACAAATTGTTTAGACTATTCATGATAAACTAATCAAGATTCACCAGTTCCAGGAATGAAAACCTTTGCTCATCTGTAGATTGTTTTGCTTATCTATTTTTTACTGGAACAAGACTTATTCAACAGCTTTGACTCTAAAGGTATTTTAGTCAAACCCCAAATTAGCCCCTAAGTTAAAAGTGATATTGTTAAAGCCCTCCACAGAGACACCAATCCCCAAAAAAATAATTACATAACTATGGTAAGTTTTTAATCTTTCACCAGCTCTTCATGACAATGGTTTCCCACCTGAGCAGTGGAGTAAGATTTTTCCAGCAGCATTTTGAGATATGTGTGAAATACTCTGTGTGCATAATTTATTTTCAAAACCCCACTTAAATGTCACAGGGCAAAATATGATGTATTGACAAGATGGTGCAGAAGATGGGAGACTTAAACCAGTGAAATGTTTCAGCAGTCTGAGACACTGATGAGCTCTTTTCAAGTTCTATTAAAAAGCAGAATAAAAGGCTTCATAATAACTACCTTAAATTGCAATAACAGTAATTTTTAGGTATTATCTGTTAATGTGGGCTCTTTATTCTCATGATGGCAAGGCAGAGCTCCCCTCCTGAGACACAGAGGGAACAACCTACATGTGGCCTGCTGGCAACTGTTGGAGATGTCAGTCAGGCTCAGCTGCCTTAATAATTAACAAAATAGGTCAAAAAAGAGCAAGCAATGTCGGCAGCTTTGGTGAGTGTCGCTGTATCAGAAACATACTTGTATCTAACTCAAAGAACACCAAACAGAACACAAAGATGATAATTTGGTCTTTTCACGGTGCATCCTGATCAGCTCTGACAATAATTTTTAATCTACAAAGAAAATTATACCCTCAAGTAAATAATTTTTAGCACATTATGTTACAGAATACCAGAGAGAATCCAGTAAAAATACACCTTAAAATAAAATACCTGGTTTTCCAGAAAAAAGGCTGAAAACTTTTGGACAAGGGACAGTGACAGTCTCTCCAATCTTTGCAGGACGCCAGCAGGTGATGTTATCCCAAACTCCAACACATCCTGAAACAAAACCAGCAATAAAACCTTGAAAGCTGGGTTTACCTTATTAAGACCTGGTGAAAACTTTGGACAAGCGGTTCAAAAAACATTAGACTCCTTCAAGAAAGCTTAAATTATTATATTTTCCATGAAAACTTTAAAGGAATCATAAGAGTCTGCTGATTAACCAGCCAATTTTGAGGTCAGTTAATACATTATTTGCAAAATGTCTCATTAAAACAATGTCATCATGATGTGAGGATGCTAAGAAAAAAGTAAGAAAGATTAAAAAGTAACTCCTGAGCATTGATATGAGAATTCCCTAATTACAGTTAGAATGGAGTTTTCTATCAAGCAGATTGAATATTACAAATAAATATGCAAGTAGGTCATTGGTCTCAGCACCACATATGATAGGAATGCATTATCATTGGAGAGTGTTTGGAACAATAGGCATGGATTTACAGAATAACCTCTCAAACTGAAAAAAAGACATTTGAACAAATAATGCTTCTATGTATTGGTTTCAGGAAGGGCAGAGGGCCTTCCTAGTTATATTTTATAGTGGCAGTAAATGCTTTTTACAATATGAAAGTAACTTGCTACAGCTTTGCCCATGTTCATATGTAGCTCAAAGGCTGTATCTTGTGAATGAGTGAAAATCTTCCTATAGCTGCTATAGGCATTTGGCTCAATCATGTCCTGTTGAAAGTGTCTGTTTATAATTTATATCTTCTAAGCTAAGCAAGCAGCTATGGAAGTTTGTCAACACAAGCCTTGCAAGGACAAAGAAGTAAGGAAATGTTACTCATATTATCTCAGTTCAAGTTATTTAAAAAAAAAAGAAATCGTACTAAACTCTGGGCGTATATGTCTTCAGATAAGGCAATTAAAAATTTTAATTTGCAATTAATGTTAAAGACAGACACTGGTGTTATCTCCATAAGAGTATTAGCAGTATAAGGGACAGTTTGTTCCTTTCAGTAGAGAACATAAAACTTGGATTGGGAACTGCTCACAGCCATATTATTCTTCAGAATATTTATAGTATTAGCAATTCATTATTAATTTATTCTGTGCTAGTGAGATCATGCCCAAAATCAAGCCACATGAGTTAAATGAAACTTGAAAAGGAATATTTAGAAGTTCTATATTTGTATAAAAACTTTTTAGTGCAATTAAACTTGGACAGCTTGTGTTGACTTAAAATATGCAGCATCCTGCTTTCAAAGTTTAAGTTACTTTCAAAGCACACGTAAACTAGGGAACCAAAGAATGTGTAACAGGACCAGCAGCTGGATTTGTCCCAGGGTTATGTCCTAGTTGCAGCACGAAGGAAAGCCAGAGGCACAGTGTTCCCATGGGCCTTGCTTTCCTTTGGAAACATCCACCCAAGTGTGATAGCTGTGAGGGAGCCTCTGAGTGGCACAAGAACAAGGTCTGGAGATGATAAATGAAGATGAGAGGAGGATTATGGGGGAAATTCTGCATTTGATCACCAATTCCACAGAGTCCTCTTTATACAGTTTCCCAAGGAAGTGCAATTCTCCAGAGGATTCACTTGCTTATGGGGATTGGGTCTTTCTTCACTCCTCTTGGGATTGTACAGTTCTAAATGCTGCATCTGTTCTATATTCAGAAAGATTATGCCAAAAATAAGGGATTACTAAAGGGAACACTTGATAAAGTTTATCTCTGTGAGTAGATAACGTAATGACTTATCCTCCACTGCCCTGTGTGCTGCATTGGCCTCTCTTGGCATTACCAACAGTATCCCTGAGAGATCTCCGATGGTGGCTTGGCCATCTGTACACAATTTCAGAGGTTTACACTGAGCAGGTCACCTTCAGAACCTTTGAAATGGAATTTCAACATGTTGAGGTCCTTCCTGAGCTGCAGTTCTGGGTCAAAATCAAGTCCAAATCTCTGTGATGCAGCACCAGAGCTTACTCAAAGTAAAAGAATTTTACCTGAACCAATTCAGGCCATGCTTCCTCCCCAGTTGATTTTAAGCCAAAACCAACATCAATAACACAACATGCAAGTAATCAGAAAGACAAAGAAACTGTTTTCTTCATCTGCCAGCACTCAGAACTACAGTGACAAACTGAAACTCTTTTGGCTTTGATTGATGGACTCCCTGAGCCAGCATAAACAAGCCCTGGAGTACACAAGAATAATTATCATCTTGTAAGACCTCAGACGTTTTTATTTCAACCCCATTTCCACTAACAGTGAGAGCTGAGATGAGTCATGAAGCTCTTCATGCACACCCATGGAAGCTGATGACTTTCTCAAATTTTCCCTTTTGTTTAATCCACTCTGTAAAACGGTGGGTTTGTTACAGCAATCTGCAAACAGCTCAGAGGACTTTGTAAATTTTTTCTATGCTACTGTACATTGACTGGGCCAAGGTTTTGCCAAACAGGCAGCAGAACAGCATGGACTTCAGAGCTCCATTGCTGTGTTTTCCACAGAAAACACTTGAAAATCTTATTCAAGCCTCAATTGCATGAAATACTATATAGAAAAATTGAAGTTCAAGTCCTATTCCTACCAAAATTAATCAACACAATTTGTATCAAATCTCAAAGCTTGCTGGAAGGAACTCAGTACACACGTTTTTGATGTTCAAAACATCACAAGTCACTCATGGTTTCTGGAATATGGTTTTTTCCTTTATTTTTCCTCAGTATTTTAGGACTTTACAAGCATCTATGGCCCAGGAGAGAATGGAAGTGCTTCAGATTCCTCAAATCAAATGGATGAAGTAACACCAAAGATGTATTTCCTTCATGTAGACTACATTCAAGTACATCACAAATCAGGAGTCACCAGAACTCCAAGAATATTAAGCCTCAATTTATGATTATCTACAGGCTTATTGATAATGGTACAGGACATCTGAGAAAAGTGCTGAAATGTCCTGGAGGCATTTATAGTCACTGAATGACTACAGTGGGCATCTGAATCTAGTCTGAATGCTGAAATGGTATTAATTACTGGTGTAATTACTGCTAGAATTACAACTAAACAGCAATGCATCTTCTGGACTTTCAAATCACACCTTTCCTCATTGCCCCATTCTTCCAATTACTACAGATTTTTAACAATACTGCATTCATTTATCTTCTTTTTCTCTTAGGAAAACATACCCTTATGCAGAGATGGGATACAATTAACTTGACTTCATCTTAAAACAATTGAAATTTGGCCAGGTTAATTGCTCCCAAAGATTGCCTGTTTCTTTTCAGTGACCACAAAGCAGTCTATGCTGCTTTAAATTCCAAATTGTTGGTAAGTAAAAGTGTGGTAAATGCTGTGCTAAATGTTTCTGTTTCTCTACATAGAATATCTAACTTGATCAAACTTAGTATTCTCCTCTCAACTTTCTGTCCAGCCATTAATTAATTCAGTGTTAGGATGCCTGGACTGTTATCCATTAGTGTATCACTGATAAAATCATTATCTAAAGTCTCAATTTCTGGAAATTTTACCCATCTCTCGAATATATAGGTCTGCTTCCTACTGTCTCTGAAGGATATTGATCAAGTCAGATAAAAAAATATTCATACTTTTAGATTTAAATCAGGTCTTATATGTTAGTTCTGGTAACCATTTTATCAGTAAAATGATACTTTCTATAGCTAGCTTTCTATTTATTTCTGTAGCTCACTTTTAAGGTAAAACTTTAATTGCTCCAATGTTTATTTCATATAATGTCTATAATTTTATTTATACTATTTTTTAAGTATTCTAAGTACCCAGATGTACTTTATTGTACATATTTTTTATTTTATGCTCATTATTGGATTTAGTCTCTATGTTTGCACTGTGCTTCAATAAATTCTCAAGCATTGAGTGTTTTTTTCTTTCTCTTTGATATGCTCACATAAAAAGTCAGTCCAGCTTAGATTTGTGATAGCTTCTCAGCTTTTTCTGCATGTCTACTATCATATTCTTTACCTTTTTATTTAGCTACTGGGTTGATTCTGGCTGAGAAAATTTTCTTCGCAGTTGCTAACACAGGGCTGTGTTTTGGATTTGTGTGGAACAGTTGTTTTTTGCTTTCCCTAGTAAATTGTCATTTTCTCAATGCAAGAGTTTTCCAGCTTTTACCTTCCCAATTCTTTCCCCAGTCCTGCTGGTGGGAGTGAGCGAGTGTCTGTGTGGGGCTGGGTTGACCTCTGGGTTTAAGCCATTAACACCTGTCAACAAAACTAGCAAGGGCAAAAAGAAAAAAGGTTCTTCGTCCCTGATTTTGTGGTGTCTAGAAGAACACTCCTGCAGCCTGCATAGAACAATTCCTTTTCAGTCTCTTCACTTGCACTGCTTATTTCTGTGATGTGTCATTCACAGAATATCCAAGGAAACAACCAAACTTCCCTGAAAGCCTTTGCTCAGTGACTTGCCCAAAAGTCTCTTCTCCTGTTCCTCCAGAGGACACTGCACATGCTATTGTTAGCTAGTTTCAATGAGATCACTTACTTTATTTGAATGTTTGGTCTTTAATGCTTGTCATGCATTTGCAGATAGTTCATAATTAAAGGAAACATAACAGACTATAAACTACATTTTGTTTCCCATTTTCTTCGGCTTACATAAGTGCTGCCACCCCATTCATCTTCCTGCTTTTTGAGATCCAGTCTTTGAGCAACAACTTCTCTCACCTACGTGTGCTTCTTTGTCTATAAAAACATAAAACACCGGGCTTGTGCTAGAAAATTTTGTTTATAGACACATTTTATAAATATATAACCGCTAGGTGGCACTTTGTATTTGGATTTAAAAACTGTCACTTCCAAGAGAGGTTTAGCATTTTTCAAAACTGTCTAGGCGTGCATAAAACATGAAAAAAAAACCAGAGTGCTTTGAAAATGAGTCAGAAAGTCGACAGCTAGCCCAGGGTTTATTTTTCAATGTTTTGATTTTTGTAGTTAACTTGGCAGAGCAGGAGCCATCTCACCTCTTATGGGCAATGATTTCTAGACTGCAGGTCCGTGTGCCACAGCATGGAACTT